AGGCTCCTGAGACAGAGACCAGATGCAAGCGCCCTGTCCTGAGACCCGAGCGCCGCGTGGGCACTGGGCTCACTCCTCCTCCTGTTTCTGTGTCTAATACACACGCGCACATCCATGTGCTCTGTGCTGTCCAGGCACAGAGCCACTGGACTCCCGTCTTCTTACCCTCCTGCCCACGGAGCGGCGCCCCAGCCTGGCTGCCTGGGACACAAGCAGGCGGCCAGTGCTCTTGGTGGCCCGGAAAGGGAAAAATAACGTCCGGGGAGGGGTGGGTGGTGGCGATGCCGATAAATGATTGCGTCTGCTGAACGCTCGCTCGCGCGCTACGTGTGGGCAGTGGTGCGCCAGCTCCTGGACAGGCCTCCTCTCCTGAGCTGCACAAGCCCTCCAGGGAGGTGGCACCCTCGTCCCCTTGCACAGACGGCAGAGCTGAGGCTGCACGCTGGGCTACAAGGGCAGGGGACGCGGCAGAGCAGGGGCCGGGCGCACCCTCTGCGTCTGTCTCCGGGTGTGTTCCACAGGGTAACGACGGGGTTGGCTTCCCGGGATTCTGCGGGATCCCTCCCTGCCCAAGTCCACAGAGAGCACACAGCGCGGGGCCCCAGTCTGGGTCCACGCAGGGAGCCGGTAACACAAACCACACGGTCGCCCAGCGTGCACTGTAGACGGGCTCTCAGCTCTGGGGGAGGCGAGGCTGGCCCGGCAGCTGGGAAGCTACAGCCCCCGTTTCTTTCTCCAAGTCCCTCCCAGGCGATGGCTGCGCTGTGTGGAAGCCGAGCCCCAGGGGTTGGGGCAAAGCAGGGCCACTCCCGCTGGCCGCACCGCACAGGCTGGCTTCAGCGGCTGCCAAAGCCTCACTCCCTCTGCCCTGCCTGCGGCCGAGCGGCCGGCCTTTCACTCTGCGGCCCAGTCCTCGGGGGCCCTTTGTCGTGCCTCGCTGCTCGCTGGGCTCCACCTGAGAGCTGAGTGCCTTCCTGGCAGAGTTCAGGGCTGAGGCCTGCGCCACGGAGGGAAGTGGGCACAGCTCCCACCTGTCCTCGGAGCCTGCCAGGGCCCTGGGCGCTTGGAACAATGTGGATTACAACATAAATGGGCTGGGCACTTTTCACCACAGGGGAAGGGCACGGAGGGGAGGGGGCCAGCCAGCAGGGCAGGGGGCCAGCAGCTCTATTCTGAGCGCTGCCTGCTTCCGGCAGAGATCAGACACAGGAGCCGGCGAGGAGGGGCCTGCACCTCTCTCCAGACCCCTGCTCTGTGCGGGGTCCTACACACACATCAGTCCAACCAGAGGGAGGGACTGACGCCCACCGTCCACGTCCAAGGCGGCCCCAGCTCTCCCTGCCCATGCAACCTTGGGCGAGTCGCCTCGGCCTGTGTGCCTCAGCCCCCGCCCCAGTACACGGGGAGGCGAATGGCGCCTTCCTGAACTCTGGAGGTCCCCAGGGAGTGGAGGCTGCCTTAGGGCATGGACAGCAGCTGCAGAGGTGGTGCGCTAGCGAGCACTCTGTGCCGGGACACAGCCAGGCAGCAGAACCCAGGCCCAGGGCGCACCCAAGTCACTGCTTCCCCCTTCCTGGGTGCTACGACTTTGGAAAAGCTGAGGTGGTGGCTCTGAGTGCAGGGCTTCACGGCCCAGGCCGGCCACGTTATCCCACGGCCTTGAGGTCAGGGTCCAGTGCTGTACATATTTGGGGGTGGGGAACTAACTTCAAACTCGGGCCCCCAGGCTCGTGGGCCACTCCCTGCCGGCCCAGGCAGGTGGGGCTGGTGTGGAGGTTGGCTACCCCGCTGTGCCTGCCACTGACCCTGCCCGAGGAGCTGCCACACCACACATCACATCGCACCCCTCAGGTGCCCCTACCCCAAGGAAACACGGTCCCAGTCCCCGGGCACACGACCCCGAGACCTGAGTCACCACATTGGCGGGACAAGGCCTGCCTCTCTGAGGTCTGGCTTCTGTCCTGCAGACTGGCACCTGCACGGGGCCTCTGGCTGACGACGTCAGGGCCCTGGGGGAGGCCAGGAAACAGCCGCCGCTTGCTCCCCCAGCCCCCTCCCTGCTTGGGGACATTCTGCTTTCCTGGCTGTGTCCCGCCACCTGGGCTCCTCCCTCTCTGGGCTCCAGGGACGTCACCTCCTCCCTCTGTCCCTTCAGCCCCTGGGGTGGCACGGCCCTCGCTGTTGCCTTAGCGCCCCATCTACTTCTCGCCCCCGTCCACACCTCTGCCAGCAGCCCTAGCCTTAGGGGCTCTTTCCACGAACCCCTTGGGGATTTGGCTGCCTGCAGGGACCTTGCCGCCGGGGAAGGGACTCTCCTGTGCTCACCTCTGACCCCTGCTCCTCACTTCTCCCATCTGCAAAAGGAAGGCTATGTACCACGCCCACCGCAGGGTCTTCCACGAGGACGTGTCGGGATTTGCTCTTCATTCATTCCCGCCACTCCTGGAAGGGACCCGGGGCTCCCGGTGCGGATGAAGCACTCAAGCCAGGGTTATGGAAGCCTCGGGGTCTTTCGCTTCGCACGGGTGCTTGCTGATATAACACAGTACGTGGAGAGGACGGGGTGGGAGGATCCTGGGTCTGGAACGCAGATCTGTGCTCGGTCACTCCAGCTGCACGGAGGACGCAGCGCTGCCTATGGCCACTAGGGTTGTTGTGGGGACACCTGAGGACAGCCCTGGGCACACGGTGGGCATTCAATACAACACCAGCTGCAGCGCCTGGCTGGTCTAGGTTCTCTCATCTGTACAAAGAGCCTAATCTCTCACCTGTCCTCACGGGGCTGCTGGGGAGTTAGGGGGAGACGTAAGCGGATCCTCCACTGTCTTCACCCCCACTGCCAGTGCACCTGCGCCTGTCTGGGCCGTGCCTGCAGTGCCCTGGCTGTGATGACAGCGGCCCCATCGCAAGGCTGCGGGCGCGTCTCCACGGAGGGAGGTGCCACTGCTGTCTTCGGAACTCAATTTATTGAAGGGGCTTCTCTCCGATGCAGGCAGGAAGTGCTGAGCCCACACTCGTGGGAGGCGGGGCCCCGCAGCCACTCCAGGGAGAGTCCCTTACACAAACATTTGCCGATGGGCGCATCTGGGCCTGTCAATGGCTGCCGATAAGCACGGCTCTTTCTGCATGTCAGGATGGGGCGCATCGAGCGGTGAGTTTGCAGCCGGGCTCTCAGCCTTGGCTTCTCCGGGTTCACCGTCGCTGAGACATTGCCCTGGCCCAGGTGGAGGGCCTGGCACGTGCCAGATCCATGCCAGGCCCAGGGACCACTGCCGCCCCTGTCTGAGCACCAGCACAGAGCAGCACACAGCGGCCTCCAGTGGGGCAGGTGTGGGCTAGGGAGGACGCGGCGGCCAAGTAAAGGGACAGGCGGAGCATGGAGCAGCGACGGATGCCTGGGTAGGGGGTGGCACACAGCAGCGCCGTGGAGGCGTCTGCCAGGTTGAGAGAGCCTAAGGCAGCCCACGCAGGGGCAAGGGTGACCCTGGCAGGAAGTGTGGGGGAGAAAAGGGGCTCAGTCTGGGAAGACCACTGGGGTGGGCAGGGCACTGTCGGAGGGCCCCCACGTGCCGCTGGAGTTTGAGCACACACAGGGGCGCAGTGGCTGCCCACGGAGGCCGACTGGAGCACACACACGGCCGTGAGACTGCCGAGCGGCTCGGGTTGTGCCTAGCCTGGAAGCTGGGCTGGGCTGGGGAACAATCACTGTACTCTGGGCTCTGTCTCCAGCGTGGGAGAGGGTCTGCAGCCCCTGTCTGTCCCCAGGTGACACCCTGGCTCTCTGCTGCCCCCTGGGGATGGGGAGGGAGGAAGGGGACAATGACAGGCACCTGGAGACTGGCCAGGCAAGCACCCGAGAGCTGGGGGCCCCAGGGGTGACAGTCGGGGGGAGGCTGGGTGCCACAGAGGCCTCAGCACTGTCCCAGAGCACGGCTGTCCCAGGGAGGCAGGAGGACGGATGCGCTCCCATCTGGGGACCCGTTGCCAGGCCCTGGCAGGACCGAGCCATACGGAGCCGCAACTGCCCTGACCCAGTGACGGTTCTTCCGAGGTGGGGGAGGTGCAGAGATGGCATTCGAGTCCAGGGCCCCTGGCTGTCCAGGAGTGGGGGCAAACATGGGACAGCAAGAAGCACCTGCCAGGCCTGCCAGCCCAGCCCGGTGTGGGTTTCCAGGCAACCCCTGAGCCCTGTACTCATTACCCGACTCTCGGGACCTAACAGACGACAACGAGGTGCAGATGAGGTGGCCCCACCGCCCTCCCTCACGCCCCTGCCCCTGCCCCTCGCTGCGACTCCTGTCTCCAGCCACACAGGTCTCCCTGCCTTGCAGACACGTCAAGCTTGCTCTAGCCTCACGGTCCCTCTACCCCACGCTTTCTGCTTGGGCAGCTCTTTCGTGGGTGCAGAAGTGGCCTCTGGCGAGCCCCTTCTGGACCACGTACGGACTTGCCCTGCCTCTCCCACCAGTCCCCACGGCCACTCCCTGGCCACTGTGGCGCCCCCTGAAGGGACCTCGGGATTTTCTGGTCACTAACGGGTTACCGAGCCCCACGGTGCCACCAGAGTACGTAGTCAGGGATCCGAGTGCCGGGGCTCTCACACAAAGCAGACGGCCTTCAATGGGGTGACTGGGAGGGGGCAGTGAAGGGGGTCAGGGGGCAGGGAGACAGGCGACAGTGTGGTCCCCAGGGGTGGCCACGGGATGGGCTGCCAGCATTCCTGGGCCTGAAGGAGCAAAGCACCTACACAGAGTATGGGGTGGGCAGGGCCACGGGCTTGAGCTATGGCCCCGGCAGCTGCCGGGAAGGGAGCCCTGCCCTCACTCTCCTGCCAGGACCCCAGTGGCCTGGCCCAGAATGAGCTGAGGGCCCAGGAGCCCGGGGTCTGTCCAGCTGGGTCCAGTGCACCTGCGGCCCTCGCATTGAGGACGGTCCCTTAGACGCTCCCACCACCGCCTGCCCTCCTGCGGCCCAGCAACCACCCCGGGGGCTGCTCCTACCGTGGAAGTGCTCAGCTGTCTTCCGCCGCAGGGCCTGCAGGGTCACCTCGGAGTCGGCCCACTCGAGGACCAGCCGGCGGCCGTACAGGTGGGTGCTGTGGCACAAGGCGTTGAAGGCTCTCTGTGGGATGAGAGAGCAGCGGTGTTAGCATCTGACTCGGGAGCCAGGCCCGGCCCCTGTGCCACGGGATCCCGGGGGAGGGTCCAGGGAGCTCCAGGAGGCTCTGTGGGCAGGGAGAGAGTGGCAAGTGCCTGGGCCGTCAGTATGGCCGCACCTGGGCTGCACCTGGCGCCAGGGACGGGCCGCTGTCTCACCTCCCGCATTCCACCTCATCTAGGGAGGGCGACCCCGTTAGCGGGGCGTGCTTCCTGCCTGGCTGTCGGGGGCTGGCCCACCCCCGTGCAGCCCCCACGGTTGCTAGAGGCCACTCTCCTTCCGTGGCCCTGGGCTCCTTGAATCCAAGCCCTCCCAGTGTCTGCTGCCCCTGTGTGGTTGCCCCGTCCCTCAGCTGTCAGCCTGGGGCCTGGCACAAGCTCCTCCCACAGCTGAGTCATGACTCACGCACACGAGACACTGGCGGACGTACACAGCCCAGGGTTTTAGTGCATTCACAGACCTGGCACCTATCTGCTCGGCGGCCCTCGCCTGCGGCCTGACTTGTGACTGACCACGTCTCCCAGAAGAAGAGAGTCCTGGAACCCGGGACGCCAAGGCGCGAGCCCGCCAAGACACGGGCGGATGCCGGCGGCCTGCCACTCTGAGAGACACATGGCCAGGCAACTCGGCCGCGGGGGCTGCACGGTGCACGCACCGGCTGTGGTGGCTGCCGTGTCGCTGAGAGACACTCTGACAGCCACTGGCACCTGTGCTGTCCGTCGCTGATGATGGCCGGGTGAAGACACTGGGCACAGGCAGGTGCCACGTGCACGTGGAGTGCTGAGCCCACGAACCTGGGGACACCGAGGAGGGGAGGCCCAGGACAGACCTCCCCTTCGGAGCCAACCCAGGTGACACCCTGTCTTCGCAAGTCCAGCCCCTGGAGCTGTGTGGCCTCGATACAGCCCCTCTGGGGAGCAACACTGGGATCCAGGCCAAGTCAGCTCCCGCACTGGGTGCCTCCACCTCCTCCTCTGAGGGACTTCTCCCCCAGGACACGCGGAGCACAATGCCCGGCGTCCATCCAGCCCGCGATCTTCAAGGACAGGGCTGGGGGCGGCGCGACCCGCGTCTTCCACAGCCAGACGACATGTGGCCAGATTAAAGAAACGCTTTGTTTTCCTCGCTGCTGTTCCGACGAGGGCCAGGTGCAGAAAACTTTTTCTTCCCCCTCCCCGCCATTTTTTTTCAGCTTTAATTTAAAAAACTCCTTCCGACTGCCAGCAGAGCCTCCGCGCTGCTTCTCCATGTGCATATAAAAATACATCTGGACCCGGAGCCGAAACGGCCCATTCAGAGCCCTAAAACACACGCGCGCTCAGCTGGCGACGTGGAGGAGGAGTCTGATGCGGGAGCAAAGCTGGTGGGGGGTCTGGTGTGGCGCATGTTCCATCCTGGCGCCGGGTCCCTGAGGAGTTGTGGTCCTGGGGACACGGTGGGGCTGCCTCGGGTGGATGCCAGGCGTGAGCTCAGCAGATGGGAATTAGGGACTCTGGGAGGTGGGCCCAGGCGGGACCCCCCAATCTCAGCCTCCGATCCCCGCTGTTAGATTTGTGTTTCTTACCCCTGCAAAGCAGTTCTCTACCCCTGTACCACAGAAAGCCCGCAGTGGTCTGTGCTCAGGGGAGACAGCGCGCAAACTCCCCTGCCCAGCCTCCCCTGCCACCGCCATCTCCTTGCGCTGCACTCTTCTGGAACGTTCTCGGCTTTCTCTTCCGTGTTCGGAGGGGAGGTGGCACAGCAGTTTGCAGTGTGGCCTCACTGCTGTACTACCTCCGTTCAAATCCCTGCTCCACTGCCTACAAACCGTGACCTCGGCCACGCTGCAAAGAGAGCGGCGGCTTCAGCCGTGCCCCGAGCACCGCCGGGCACCTAGGGAGCCTCACTTGACCGCCTGCTGCCGTCGCTGTCCGGCCTGACTTTTCACGAGCGCTGGAGTGCAGGGACGATGCTCGGTCAGGTACAAAAGCTCCTTTGTAGCTGAAGCGAGAGCACAATATGTGGTTCTCCAAAAATAGCAGAATTACCCTCGCCGGCTCTAGTCCCCGCGGGTTAATAGGAAATCAGGCTGTGTTCCCGAGAGCCCACAGCCTCGGCGGCTGCAATGTGCTGGCCTCAAACTCTCGCACGCAGGCAGCGTGGGGACAGGGTTTCCAGGCTAAAATTGGCCTCAGATAATCCAGGGTAATTGCGTCTCATTAAAAGAGCGCAATGAGAGCTTGTAGCACCGGAGGCACCCGAGGAGGCACGGGGGTGGTGAAGAGGAGGAGGAAGGCACAGCTCTGGGCCTCGAGGGGCTTGTGGGCTAGTGCAGGGGAGGGCCCAGAGGGGCACGGAAAGTTCTAGGCTCAGCAGAAGGAAGAACGCAGGCCAGGCCCATGGCCCCATGGGCTGAAGTCCGCTGGCCGCCTCCTGCTCTCTGGCCCCTGCTGTATCCCTGCCCCACTGAAACCCGCTGTCTCTAGAGCTTTCTAAAACCTCACTCCAGGCATGGCTGCCTGTGCCACGAGCCCCGGGGCCGTGTCCCCCTTGGAGACTTGGCTCTGCCCGGGCCTTGTGCCGCCCACACCCGGCTCCTGCTGTCTGCTCCCTTCCTGGCAGTCGGAGCCTTCTTCCAGGCAGGGACTGGGGATCTGCTGGCTCCACGGGACTGCAACTTACGCCCACAATCATTCTCCATTGCAAAGGCCATCTTCCTTCCTGTCTCCGGGCCCCTGCACTTCGCCTCTTGGCTCGCAGAGAGGGTTGTCCTCACACAGTGCGCGGGCAGCCGGGTGCCCTCCGTTCCAGCACCTGCTCCCTGTTCCACAACACCTGCTTGCCGTGCTGGTCTGCCTGACACGACCTTGAACCCAGGGGGAAGGCGTCCTATCGCATGCTGCAGGCAGGGTGTGCTCAGTAAACACTCGCACAGCAAACTGGGGGCGGGGATCTCCAGACAGCTGGGTGGCTGCTGGCCCAGGTGTCCTGCCAGGGTTCCCTTCAGGTCACGAAGACAGCAAGGACAGGCGCATGTGCAGTTCTGACAGCTCGGCCCGCAAGTGTCCACACAAGGGGGACACCTGGCCTCGGGTGACAAGACCGACGCCCCCAGGCTTGCTGTGCACTGCTCCCGACATGCCTGAGCCGGGTTCCTTGAGGGACAGGAACAGCAGCCTGCTAAGACTTCAGAGAGCACCCACTTGCTGGAGAGGCCTGAGGGTCTAGAACAGACCGGAAGGACACCTCAGCCTGGCAGAGGAACAGCCACAGAAGAGCTGCTTTGCTCCCAGGAGCCACTTCCTGCTGGCCATGCGGCTCATTCCTGGGCCACCCACCCCTCTTCTTTGAGCCCAAGAACCAGCTCCTGTGCACCCTGTACAGGGCTCCCTCACCCTCCGGTTTCCAAGGAGATGAAGCCCCGGGAGGCAGGAAGGAGGCTGGGTACTCCTTGCACCCCTGCCCAAGGACCCCAGCTCTGCCCTCACCTTTGCCTCTGAGCCTCCTGTAGCCTGAGAGGCCCTTTGCTGGCTGTCACCATCCTTAGGCGGCTGCCCTTCCCGTCTCTGCCCCTCATTCGAGCCACCTGGTTCCCTGCTGGACCCTGACTCAGGCGGCGGAGCCCCTCCGCCTCGACTGGGAGCAGATGGACTCCCTCCTGCTCAGGCAGCTCGAGGCCCACCGGGGAGAGCTTTGAGTGGGTCCAGCCAGGCTCCAGGGCTGCCAAGAATCACGGCTGCGGGATTCCCTCTGAGCTGAGCCCTGAGGGCGTGCGTGCGTGCATGTGTGGGGGTGTGCTAGGCTGTGCAGGGTTGGGGTCCGTCTTGCAAGAACAGGAAGGCGCTGGGCCTGATCGTTGCAGCTTCCCTGGACCCAAACCTTCTCCCACAGTGAAAGCCATGCTGCGCCCCTGGAGGGACTGCAGGCCCAGGGGCTGCGCAGAGCTGCCGGGGCCACGGCTCTGGGCAGAGCTGAGGACTGGCCTCCTGTCAGGCGTCCAGGGCGCCTGCCCTGCCCCTCTGTCCCCGTACAGCCGGGCGCCACACCTGAGCATGGACGGCGGCACCCTAGCCCAAGCCTTTCCTTGAAACTTGTGTTGACCGCTTGGTCAACCCGAAATGCTGGTGTCTGAGCCAGAGTCCTCACGGTAATCACCGAGAGGCGGCAGGGAGCTGCGGAGCGGAGGCCCTGTCTTACAGAGCAAGCTCCGGATTCCACGCATTCCTGGGCTCTGACGATAGGAACCTGGCAAAACCCCACGACTGATGAAAACGGGGACACGAGGGCACACACAGAACGTGCACTCTCGCCCAGAGAAGTGGGGCCGTGACCACAGCTCCTCCAGCTGCCTCCAGCTAATTATCCGGGGGCACTCAGAAAAGCTGGTACCTAGCTTTCCCGTGCATCGCGAAGCCCAGGGCGCAGGGGAGCCCCGGCCGGCGTTCAGCACTGTCCATGCTCCACCCCACCGCGACTGCACAACCCCCTCCAGGTAGCGCGATCACCTCCTGTTCTGAGGATGACCTGCACCCCCTGGCCACACTCCCACAGCCTCAGAGAGGAGGCTCTGCCGCCACAGGCCACACTAACCACCGCGCAGCGCGGCCCGCAGGGAACAGGGGTGTCTGGGCATGCCGGACCCTGGTCTTTCCCTGCACCCAATTAACAAGTGCATGCGGACAGCACGCGGCCGACCGTCTCACAGCGGCACTGACTGTGCACCGGGCGGTGAGGAAGCCGTCCCTGCCGCAGGAGGAAGACCAGGGATTTGGAGAACATTCCCGGGAGGCGCCGTGCCACACCGGCCCCCGCCCCTGGCGGCGCGGAAAGCCAGATGAGAACGGGCCGTCAGCCGCAGCGACCGTGGTTGTTTACCACGGTGAGCAGAGCTCTGCCTGCCAACGCCGCCCGCGCCGTGTCTCCCTGCTGCCGGCTCCCCCCAAGTGTTTATTTAAGCCAACACACTGCTCCGCTAATTGGATAACATTCCATGTGAAAACAGACCTTTTAAAACAACAGCAGCGGCGGCAAATGAAAACAGCTGCAACCACAGAAGTACAAAGGCGCGGCGGCCGGGGAAGGCACAAGCAGTCTCACGGCGCGGGGTGGGGAGGAAGATTCTGGATTCTGGGCTGCCCGTCTCTTCTTCCCGCCCTTCCCCTTCCTCCTTGGCCAGCCTGGTCTGGGAAGCACAGGAGATGGCAGTTTCCAAACGAAATCCCAACAGCTACTGGTGGCCGCTTGGCCCTGGCGGAGAGCACATGGACTGCCCAGGGTGCCTCCCTGGGCCCGGGGGAGCCGACTACATCCTGGGTCTGCTCCCGGGAGACGTCTAAGGGAAAACCTCCTGGCCTTCCTCCAGAGCGTCTCCAGAGGGTGAGCTCTTGGCCTTGGCAAGGCCCCAGGGCCAGGGGAGAGGTGGTGGGTGCGGCGGGAAGAGGAGGGGGCTGGCACGGACATGGAGTGAATCAGTGAGCCAAGGAGGCCAGAGCAGAGTCCTGGCACACGCGGGCCTTGGCCGCAGGTCTGCCTTGGCTCTGCCAACACCGCTGTCTGACCTTGAGCAAGTGCCTTCATCCCGCCGAGCCTCAGTTTCCCCAATTGTGCGAAGTCCCCCAGCGCCTATCTCCCAGAGCCCACCGAGGATTCAAAACACTGAGTGCAAATGCCTGGTGCCACCTCTGCCAGACGGGCTTCTGACAGCTGGTGGTTTGTTTTGTATCAACGTAGAGACTGAACTTTCCAGAAATGGCCTCGTGGCCCGTACTGGCCACGGCATACAGAGCAGCCCATGCTGGGGGCACCCTGTGCTCAGGACGTGCTGGAGTCCTTGGCTCCCCCATTCTCCCGCCCTCACTTGCCTTCACAACTTGAGGCGGCTCTGTGATCACCCTTGGGGGCAGAGATAACAGAAGCCCTTGGAGGGCCTCTCACTGCCAGGGACGTTGGGGGCAGACGAATGGCCGAGGCTGGGAGAATATGCCAGGTCAGCGATCCTGCGTGCCAAGCGTGGCACTCAGGTCACCAGCGCCTGTGACGAGGGCAGGCGGCCTGGGCCAACCCCGCCCCAATGCGCCAGAGACTCCTCACGGGCTCAGGCCTGGCTTCGTATCAGTTCTGTGGCCCTGGCGCCGGGGCTTAGCAGCCGTTCAGAGGAAGTGGAGGGAGATTGCGAATCTCCCACCCGGCTCTGGGGTTCCTGCAGGCTGGGCCCAGCTCAGAGGTGCGGCTCGCTGCGAGCGCCCATGGCCTGGTTCCTCTGAGCTCCGCCACAGCGGCCTTCGTGTAGCCTCTCGCTAAGCATTCTCTTTCCGGTTCTGGGGGTGAGCACTTGCCCCAGAAGGTGCCTGAGGATGTGTGAGGCAGGACGTGGGGTCAAGGTAGGAGGACGGACGATGCAGAACCGCTGGGTTCAGGGGTGTCGGAGGAGGGCAGGGGATCGGGGCCAAAGCAGACCCTGGTGTGGAGGGAATGGATGTTTTGGGATTCAACTGGAGCAGGTGGACTGGCTGGTGTAGAACACCGTACCAGAGGCCTGGAAGCCTCGAGCCAGGCCCCAGCACCAGCCCTGCCCGGCACCCCTGAGGTTCTCCACTGCCTTCCAGCTTCGAGGGTTTACAATGAGCTTTTGCCCCCGGCCCCTGTCTTCACCTTCTCCTTGCCCCCTCCTCTCCTGCTGCCTGAAGGCAGCACGGGGCACATCCCGATGCCCGCTGACCGACGGCTGGCTCTCACTGGAGATGGGAGAATCTAAAGGGGGCCTGAACGGGGACTGGGGCTCAGACCTGCGTTCTCACCACTCCTCACTGAGCTAGACAGGCCTCGGGGTGCTTCACTCTGCTCTGCGCCCCCCTTCCCACACCTGCTACCCACAACATTCAGGAATCTACGTGCTGACGTCACGGTTCCGTGGGTCAGCGCTGAGTACCGACGGTTCCACTCAGCAGACAATGGTGTTCTTCAGACCGGCGGGGAGGCGGCGAGAGGGAAGCGGCGGCAGCCTCCCCAGGAAGCAAAAAGAGCAAAGGATCTTGGCAAGAGAGCTGCGCTCGTGCCTTCTGGAACACCGGCTCGCCTGGCGGTGGTACCACGGGCTGCTGCGGGCACGGCAGGGCCAGCAACAGCGCCTGGTGGTGGGGAGGGCCAGGGAGGAAGCCCATCTCACGGGGCCGTGGTCGGATCCCTCACTCTCCCCGGCTGCCCCTGCTCCTTGTGAGCCTGCTGTTCCGTTTGGGACGGTGCGAAGGAGGCGCCAGATCGTGGTTCCAAAACAGCACCTGTGGCCTGGCCTTGGGTGAATTCCCTGTGTAACTGGGAGCCCACCTCCCGCTGTAACAAACTCCAACAGCAGAACTATCCCGACCGTCATGTGGCAAAGGGGCTCGTGGGACACCCAGGCTGGGAGCCCACACGTGGTCCAGCCCTCCAGGCCCCAAGTGTCCTCCCCCAGCCCTGACCTCGACCACTTGGCACTGTAAAGAGGCCACTGGGTGGAAGACAGGCTTCCAGCCCTAGAGCCCTGACCCCTTCCTCTGCTCCTGCCCCACCCAGCTTGTTCTAGACCACCACCAGCACCACCTTCTTTCCTTCTCCTCCTCCTCGTGGCCAACAGAGCTCCAGGGCCCCGGTCCTGTCCTGAGCAGAGTCCTGCTCCCATCTCACAGGGGAGGAACTGAGGCACACAGGAAGCGAGTCACCCGGCCCGGGCCACACAGTGGGTGGGTGGCAGTGCTGGGGTCAGAGCTCGCGTGCTCTGGATCCGCAGCGAGCGAGGGCTCTGATGGCGCCGCCCCGGCACTGCTAACAGGCATTCCTTAGGGACGGGGAGTGCGCCCCACGCTGCACGCAACCTTGCACAGGAACCCTGAGACGAAAGAGGCCGAGGGCTCCGCACCCTCACTGCCTGATCCCCTGGGAAACGCAGCGGGGGGAACCCTGCCGGTGCTGCCTTCCCCCTGCTGACAGAACCCGAGGTACCTGCACACCAGGACCAAGGGACGGTGGCTTGGAATGGGCAGGCCCAGGGGCATAGGAGCCGTCGGGGAGCACTCCCTTCACACCTCCTGCCAGCACAGAGGTCGGCTTCGCTGCCTTGCTCCCGGAGGGCCGTCCCGCCAAGGCTCTGGCTTCACAGACCAGGAAACCAAGGCACCCAGCAGAGCCAGGAGAGGCCGAGCTGCCAGTGTCAGAGCCGCTGCTCTCAATGGCTGCCCCCCACGGCCGCCCTCCCAGCTGGGGGCACCCCGACTCTGCCCTGCTGAAGATGACAGCCGTGGGACCGTCGCACACAGGGTGCCGCTCCTTTTGTCACCAACAGGAGAGAGGGGAGGGCGGCCAGCCGAGAGGGGAGAGGAGCAGGTGTCCAAACAGACGTGGCCATGTGGTCGACAGAACAGACCCTTGAGTTCAAGATGCGCAGACAAAGGGGGCTGGCGAGGCCCTCCCGGGGCCCGCGGGCCCTCTGCCTGGGTAGTTCCCAGGCCCACAAAGGCCGCAGCTGGGTCCCCGAGCTGCCCCTTTGGCTCTGCACAGGGACCCACCCTCTGGGCCTCTTGCAATGCCAACTTGCTGAAGGCCATGGGCGCCTGGAAAGTGGGTGGGGGGCCCAGCCTCCAGGGGAGGCTGAGAGATGGCCGACGCCACCTGTGGGCACGGAGCTCACAATGCAGGCGCCACGGCTACCTCCTTCTGGATTCTGACCCCACCCACGCAGCCTCTGTCCCCACTGCTGCTGGGCCTGCGGGGGACCTGGCACCCACTGCAAGGGCAAAGCCCTGCTGAGCTGCACAGAGCCTACGGGAGAAGCGGCCTTGCTCTGTCCACGGTGCTGTGGGTCCTGGAGGAGCAGCACCTGCTTGGGGGTCCTCGCATGCAACCAGCCACAGGCAGGACAGGGGAGAGAAGTTACGGGCCCCAGGTGCCTCCTGGGGTGCTAGCCACTCTCTTTTCCAAGCGCTCTGCCCCGGGTCCTCGGTGCCCTTCCACGCAGCCCAGCCCTGGGGCCACTCTTATAAGGAGGGGCCTGGGAGACCCACTTGCTTCCCTGGTTTATATCCCAGGCTCCTGGATGTGTGAAATGCGGGGAGGGAGGGCCACAGAAACGCCTCTTCCTCCAAATGCAAAATCCAGCCTCTTTGTCCCACAGGAAGAGATGCTGTGTGAACCACACTGAGACGCCAGAGCCAGGCAGTGTCTCCTACAGAGGGCCCCGGTGGGGGAAGGGACCACGCCTCACCTTGGCGTCCTGCTTGGTGAGGAAGTCCACGAAGCCGAAGCCTCGGTGCGTGCCTGTCCCGGTCATCTTCTTGGGCAAGCGGACAGTCTTCAGCTCCCCGAAGGTGCTGGTAACAAAAGGCAAACACGGGAGTTGAAGACCGGAGGCCTGCTGGAGGTGGGAGGGCTGACTGTGCGCACACTGATCCCTCTGGGTTGAGAGAAGTGTTCGCACACGCGCACGGACACACACACACACACACACACACACACACACACCTGCGTCAGCTCCCTGGCAGCCAGCCTTCTCCCAGGCCCTGGCCACCAGTGTCAGGTTGGAGACCCCGCAGGGGAATTCGCAGTTCCTCCCCCCACCCAGGGGGGTGGGGCACCCGGCCTTGCGCACACCTGGCCAGGTTACAGAGGCCCAGGCGGGGGTGAGGGGCTCTCCTGGCCTTTGCCTCTACATCCCAGCTGGGCTGGCGGGATCACAGGCGGGGCCTGGGGTGTTCCTTCTGGGCTCAGCGTTCTGGGGTGCCAGGCCCTGTCCCCTCCCTTGGAGCTCGCCTTTTGATGTCCACTAAGCCAAAGCCAAGCCAAGCTCTGGAGAAGAAGCGGCCTGGCTCCTCCCCACAGGGAGGGAACAGGGAAACGCGGCCTTGGGCCACCCCCGGCGCCCCCTGTCCTCCCCGCCCGGCCAAACCGCTGGGAAATCCCGGGACAAAAGGATCGGATGTTCCAGGGCCTCCTTGGCTTTCCCAGCTTGCCACAGACCCTCCGCCCCCTTCCCTCCTAACGTCCATTTATCAAATATATACACACAAATCGCTGCCGATAAATATTTAATGTGCATGGCAGCTGAAGAGAGGTATTATTTTATTTGAAAATCCACACACATTTGCAGCCGCTTGGGCACGCGCACGCACACGCGGTGGGCTGGGGTGCTTCGGGGGCAGGGGCCGCTCGGGCGGGGAGCACGGGAGAGGCTGTAAGCCCTCGTGAAATGATGCAAGCTACATCCGAGGCGTTAACCCGCAGCCTCGCCGGCATGACCAGGCATCTGCCGGCCCAATTTCTGGAGGCAGGACGGTGTGTAAATGCGGCGTTATGAATCCTCAAAATGAATCTGCACGTCCCTGGAGCTCCCCTGCCCACCTCCCCCAGGCGGCGGGAAGCGGTGCTGGCGACAGGGCCAGCCTCCCAGGGAGTGGAGCCCTGTCAGCCTCCCCACTGCGCGGAGGCTGGAGGCCGGCTCAGAGGGGGCCCAGGGCTGGGGCCCCGAGGCTGGGCAGGTGGGGACAAGGTGAGGCTGGAGCGCGGAGAGGGGCGAGGCCCACAAACGCTGCTTTCTTCTGCCACCTAACGGCCGGAGCATCCTACAGCATACACACTGCTCCTTGCGCCGGCACCACAGCTCATTTGGGGAAGTGGTCTCGGGCTCTGTGTTCTTGACTCGGGCCACAGGGAAGGGGCACCTGGCATCCTCAGGACCGGGAACTGCACACATTCAGCAGCCGCGTGCGGAAGCTCACGGGCACAGGAGGCCCGGGCTGGGTGCTCTGTCCACGTGGTCACGGCAGCTTTTTTGGGGAGCTGGTCTCTGCACCTGGCTCTGCTCTGGCCTCCAAGGCTCTCAGGCCTCAGCCACTAGTGCAAGGCAGCCTCTCGTCCCTCTGTGAGCCTGGGTGGGCAGCCCTGGAGTCCCCAAGCAACCCTGGGCTCACTGAGGTACCCCACCAGGGAACTGGGGCGCCAGTGCTTGTTAACTTCTCTGCCTCCTCGTGCGCTAGCATGCAGGTGGGCCCTAGCAGAAACCACCCCCGCCTCGCTCGTGACTGGGTCTGCAGCTCGGAGCCCAGCGCCCTGCCTCTGAGCCGAGCCCTGCAAATGTTTCTGGAAGAGAGAAATAAGCCACGAGTCGCTCTGGAAGGGGGAGGGGGCTGCTGGCCAATGACCCCTGCCCTCAGAGTCCACGAAACCAGCCACGGGGTAAATACAAACTGTACAAAGGTCAGTTATGACGGGTCTCGCCATCCCCATTTCCCAGGTGAGAAAGCCAAGGTCCAGGGGGCATTCTTGGCGGTAAGCAGTAAGGTAAGAACAGGAATCCAGGCACGGCCGTGAGCCCTGAGCCCTCCTGCCGCACAGACACCGCACCCTTTCAGGAGCTAGGTCTGTTTCCTGAGGCGTGGCCGGGCCTGGCTGAAGCAGGAGGCTCTGTGTGGCAGCGCCTAGAAAGCCCTGCGTGCAACTGCAGAGACCCAGGGACCGACCCAAGGCCGCTGGGCAGGGGACGGAGCCAGGCTGTGGCCCAGTCATTCCGCCCAGTCATTCTGTGCACACCGCGTGCAAGCACCCGGCTTCTGCCCAGCGGGGCTCCTATCTCCTCTCCCTTCGTAGTCCTGCCTAGTTTCTAGTGAGCGGCCTATAGGTGTGCGTATGGGGGGGGGGGGAAGGAAGGTTAATTTTGCCCTCTCGGCAGCACGCGGCGGGCTGTGGATGCTCCGTGCATGGTAAGCAGTGACGGGGCTGGAGAAAGGCGAGGAAAATAATTAAAAGGTGCAGAAAACGGCTGGTGAGGAGGGGTGCAAGGAGCTGTGCTTCCGTGGCCTGCACACATGGTGGCGGAGAGCTGGGCAGAGGGAGCGGTGACAGGATACCCGGGACTCACCAGGGGCCGTGGGCAGGGATGAGGGAGCCCGGGGCGAGGGAGGTGGGGCGCGTGGCTCAGCTCTGCACAGCAAATGAAACCCGTTTCCCACGCCAGGAAGCCAGGGAGGCAGCTACAATGGAGCGAGCATCCTCCTGAGAGCAGGACAGGGGCGAGCGGGGCCTTAAGGAGGAAGTGCAGGCCCAGGGTGAGATCCTAGGCGGGACCTCCTCAGTACAGCCACGCCTGCGTACAACCACCAAGCCAGCCACTGCCAGGTCTTTTAAATGCGAAATTTCCAGGTACAACTGCACCGCGGGGACAGTGGTGCTGTCGCCTCTCCTCTTACAGATGAGAAAACCAAGGGCCACAGCAGGAAAGGAATTTGCCCACGTCCCATGACCTGGGTCTCAAAACCCGGGCGAGCTGTTTCTGATGCATGCCAGGACGATGCGGGCAGCCAGTGGCTCTCGCCGCCGGGAACCGCCTGGGATCATATCAGGCCAATACTAATGATCTTGGAGAGATAGCAAAAGAGAATTAAAAAGAGAGAGGGAGGAAAGGCTGGGGGAGGGAAAAAAAATCGATGAAGTACCTTTAGCCTCTTGGAGATAAGCGATGTATAAAGACCAGCCATTATTAAGGCTCTTATCGGACAGCAAGGGCCGCGGAGCCATTTCTAAGAGCGGCTTTTGCAGGAAGTTCCCGGGAGCCCTCCTTCCTGGGGAGCCGAGGCCGCTTTGGGCTGAGGCTGGGCAGGGCCCCCAGGGACTGGGGAGGGGAGACAATCACAGGGCACCCAGGAACTCCTCCCTGCGCCCACACTCTGCCGCCCGGGGAAGGAGATGCATGTGCGTGCGCCCCACTGTGCAGATAATAGAAACCACAAAATAGCAATTACTGTATCAGAAGCTGTGAATGAAGAGGACACGCCGAGCTTTTAAACATGGCCCTCCTTCCCTCCCCCACCACGCTCACACCTCGGTAACAAACTCACACCTCACTTTTCCAATTATTTCATTCACCTCGGGTTCACCAATTACTCCCCCTGCCGCGGCCCCACCCCCTCCGCCACGCCGGGAACGCACGATTGGTGGTGGTGGGGTTGGCGGGACTGGAGTTTGCTGTCGCCTGTCTAATTTCTTACGAGGGGTGCGTGCGTGTGTGTGTGTGTGTGTGTGTGTGTGTCGGAGGGGGGAGGGGGCAGCGAGGTGTTGAGGGAGACAAGCCAATTACGCCTGGCCTCGTACACAAGTCAGAGGTATGCAGATCGTGTTTGCACACAGCCAGGAAGCTGGCACGGTGTGCGCACCCTGCATGTGGGGGAGGGGGGTCCTCCCTCCCGGCTAGCTGCACGACCCCTGCCCAGCTCGGCTGCGGCCCCGGCCAGTGGCTGCTACTAAAAAGAGATGAATCATCCTATTTCTCTCTCTCTCCCTGTTTGAAGTGATGCGCTCGGGGGAAGGGAGCCAGAGGAGAGGTGAGGAGGAGAGAGGGAGAGAAGCCTCCAGGGATGTGAGCTTCTCTTTTGCAGCTACGCTGGGGCCCGGTTCGGAGGCTGAGCGGGCGGCCCGAAACCTGGTCAAGTCTCACGGCGTGCCGCTGTTGCCAAGGGGCTCAGACACGTGCTGAGGAGCCGAGGGCCCTGCTCCCGGGACAGAGGGCCGCACCCTGCTCTTTCTGGACCTTCTGGAAGACCCGAGCCCTGGCAGATGCGCTGAGTCCCACAAGGGGTTGCTGGTGTGACTTGGTCCCACCTGTGCTCAAGTCAGGGCTGAGGAAAAAAAAAAAAAAGCTCGCGGCGACCCCGGGACCCCGAGCGGGAACAGCGCAAGCTAAACAGGAAGGGCTGGCCCTGCAGCACACGTCCACCCTGGGCGGCTTCCGCTCTTCTAGGGGTAAGGAGAAATGGCCGCATCTCTGGGCGTGGGAAAGCCTTTTGGACACACCCCTGCCTGTCTCCCAGCACCCATCCTTCCAGCCGGCATGGCGGGCAGTCCCTGGGCACCTGAACCCTCGAGACGCTCCGCGCCGGGCACTGCTCTTCCCACCGTCCAAGGGGGAGGACGTGATTTCCTTCCCAGGCCTCACCACGCGGGCTGGAATGACTTGTCCAAGTCCCACAGTGGTGAGGAGCCATGCTGCGCTCAGAGTGGCCTGCGTGCTGGCATGGGCAGTGTACCCAGACAGCCCTGTCCACGAGCAGTCAGCTGCAGGGTGCCGGGAGGAGGGGCCCGCGGTGACCTTTGTGTTCCACGGACCCTCGCCCTGCCTGGGAGGAGCTGCACGGGGAGTCTCTTAGCCAGCAGGAGGGAGACACACAAGACGACGCAGGGCTCAAACCACGCATGTCAGCTGTTCGGGTCTAGGGCCAAGGGCTCCTGGCCTTTGCCCACCGTTTCCCGTGCACACTGCCTCCAGTCTCACACCGATGGGCCGGTCATCACCAGCCCACGGTGCTGAGCTCCACCTGCTCCT